CCCCTGAAGCAAAACACCACTGCATACAAGAATGCGGCTAACATAGTGTTCGCTGTTCCTCACAGTGGTGTTTAAAGAGTGAACAAAATGATTATGTAACTTTACAGTACCCATCTTACAGTACATTTCAGACCATTTGTGATCATACAGGAAGCTGTCGTTGAGTGTTGATACAAAAATATAGACGTCTGTCATTTTCACCTGGATGAAGTGTTTTACATTATCCAATAATCGTCTGCTTAAGGCTCATTGAAGGTGATTTACCAACACAATCTCACGGTAATTCGTAACTTTTTCATTTAGTGGCTAATTCGTATGAATTCGTACGATCTAATTCGTACAATTTAGTACGATTTGCTTATCCCCAATGACGGTTGGGGTTAGGGGTGGGGTCAGGTGCCACGCCTCCTTTTTAAAATCGTACCATTTCGTACCACTGAACTCGTACGAATTTGTACGAATTAGCCACTAAACTGGCAAAACGTAAAATACTTACGTTTTCTCGTGAGATCAGGCTGGATTTACACATCATTATGAATTCCTCTGTAAGGGTTATACAGAGAAAGTGTAACATTGTTCATCTACATCAGGGGTCTCAAACTCAATTTACCTGGGGGCCGCAGGAGGCAAAGTCTGAGTGAGGCTGGGCCGCATAAGGGATTTCACAAAAAAAGTGCTCAAATGTCATTATTAACAGTTTTAATTATTTCTTCTGAACATGAAGTGTCCTGAACATTAATAGAACATTGAGTGAAGATTATGAACAGTTCTTCTGAACATGGCATCTTTTGCCTACTCCTTACTGCCAGAGACTTGACAGCGCTTCTTCTCACAAATCTGAACCACGTTTGGCTTTAGAGCGGAAGCAGTTGAGACCCTCAGTATGGCTTAAAGATGATCATTATTAAGTCTAGACCTGTACTTTGACTTATTGAAGTTCAAGGTGGAGAATAACTTCACACACAAATATGTGCTCCCAAAAAGGCCAAGTCCTAGGGAAAAAAGTGGGGGAACTCACTCAAAACTTCCATTCCCTCACCTAAAAAAAAGGCGTATATGTATAAATAAAACACCCCCACTCCAGTCACATCAGTCTGTACCAGTCTGTATCTACCTATAATATATATAAGACAGGGCTCGAAATTAACTTTTTTACTTGGTAGCACCGGTGCTCCCAACTTCAAATATTTAGGAGCACCAAAATAAATTTAGGAGCACCAGAAAAAATTTAGGAGCACCCACCAAAAATGATTGAGCACCGCTGCAAATTGCTTTTTAAGGGATTTATTGTATTTTAAAACAACATCAATAGTGTTTTGACTGACAAAAACCAGAAACAACTATCTAACTAATGCTGCGAAGACATTGATATTTGTGTGCAATAATTCCAAAATGAATGTCTAATAATTATAGAATATTAATGATGATGAAAATGACAATAATAGTAAAAATGAATAACATTTCTCATTATGATACTGCCTTAAATGTGCATGAATGTAGGTTATCTGCTATAAAAAGTCTGTTACTTTATGAAAAATAATTGTATAGTTTGCATCAAACAAAAATGAAGCATTGCAGTAAGAAATATTTATTTTGTACTGCTGTATTTATATGCATGTCAATTTAATAAATAATATTTCTGCTACAAAACAAACAAAAGATTATAATAAATCATTCAATTCAATGATGAAAGCTGAAAAGCAGTCATCAGTAAATAAATAAGAAATAAAGATAATATACACCTCAAAAAAGAATAGACAAAAGAAAGAAAGTAAAGTAGCACTCTTTAAAAGTTTTGGTTTCAGTTTGTGTCAATTAAAAGGTTCAGTCTGAGATGATCTTCATTTTTCTGTGTTAGTGGAAAAGCTGGCGAGTCAGCCGACCCAATTTATGAGCAGGCAGCGCAAGATTCTTGCAATGACCACCGGCGGAATACCGCTGTTTGTTATGAGACGCAGTTTCAGTGTAAACTTAGTAAAGGCGAGCTTCTTTGGCGATGGTATTAGATTTGACTTTTAGCGGACATTTGCGCTGAACACGCAGTGAATGCAACGCATGGATATTCGGGCGCCTTCTCCATGAAGCGCGTACTCGATTGATCTCAGCTGGTGGATCATTATTTACCACGTGACGTGTCATGATCGCTCTCATCACCTCAATTTTAGGTGGGGTTTGCAAACCTGTGTGCTTTAAGTTTTTACTCTTCTGCCGTTTGCATTTCCCGTGGTCATAAAAGCTCCTTCCCTGTCATCTGACAGCGGAATACCTTGAGTGATTGACAGCTAATATGAACCAATATAGCGGCAGGGAACAGCGATTCAGCATGTTTTTACAAAAAATCAAAACAGGTCGCACTACAACCATTATCAGCAGTCGCACTAATGCGCCCAAATATATTATAAGGTCGCATAGATTAATTTTCGGGCGCATATGGCAGGCAGGGGCGGGAACAGCTAACCTTGGTTCTTCCCGCCCGTCACAGCGTCTAACAAAAGGGCGGGGTGCGTGGTGACGTCACCGGCATCCCCGCTCCTTTGTTTACACGGCTGGCGGGGAATGCCAGTGACCGCTGTGTACTGACAGAATCAGCGGAGCGGCAAGCGCTCTCTCTCCCCGCTCCGCTAATTCTGTCAGTGTACAGCGGTCGGCGCGGGCCACAAAATATTGCACTGAGGGCCGCAAATGGCCCGCGGGCCGCGAGTTTGAGACCCCTGATCTACATAGACTACTGTCACTTTAACAATAAAGCGAGTTGAAAAACTGTTACACTTTAAGTTAACTTTAAGTGTGCTATTCCTTACTATAGCATAATTATAACATCTTTGCTGGTTGGTTTGCAGTTTCACTGACAAATTACGTAGAGATTTTATCATAATTAATTAATCGCCCTCACAATTTAGACAGATTATGTTTGGCTATTTCTAAATATGCAAGTTATTTGATTTTATATATTAATTGAGTGAGGAAAAACTGGAGAAAAAAAATTGGTGACACTTTATTTTGATTGTCCCTTTAAGATATTTTGTTTGCTAGAAGTTTATTCATAGGTACGAGTCAGACAAATCTCATTAGAGTTTTAGTAGAGTGTAAGTCTGTCGTAGCAAAAATTGGTGGTTATGCACACTTAATCCATAAGCCATTCATAGTACTACAGCTTTTATCTTCTCCTCTTTATGTGAATGTTGAATATATTGATAGAATGTTTTCATCAGTACACAAAACTTTTCAAAACAGAAAGGAAAAACCTTTTATGTTTAGTGTTTAGTAGAATAACTTTACATTTCACTCTCAGAAATAAAAATACAAGAGCTGTCACTGGGGTAGTTCCTATTTGAAAGGTATACATTTGTAAGGGTCCTTATTAATACCTCAGGAGTACATATTAGTACCTAAAAAGTACATAAGCTTATCTTTTGAAATTTTTAGGTACTAATATTTGAGGTACCAATAGGGACCCTTTAAGTACAATTATGTACCTTTTGAAAAGGTACCAGTGACAGCTTTCCAACCTTTATTTCTGAGAGTGTTCAAAAGTTAATTTCAGCTAGTCGAGAGTCTGTTTGAAAGCCATCAAAATAAAGTATTAGAGAAATTTTACTGTAGAAATTCACTGTTGACATGCTGTCACTGTTTTTATATGAATTCTGGAGACTTCTCTCTGGTCTTAAACATTCATTTTAGATGGACTAGTTTAAAGTGTGCCACTGATTGAATAGGTATTATTTTATAAGGTGAGAGAAAACCTTTTTTTAATTTAAATTCCATCATTCATTCATTTCTTGACTTCTTTCAAACGCAAGTTAATGTCCTCAGTTGAACTCAAAAAAAGACATTTTAAAAAATGTTGGAAACCTGTAGGCATCGACTTAATAAAGGTTTTGTGTTTAAAATGGTTACTAACACTCTTCAAAAATATTATTTTGTGTTCAAAAAAAAAAAAAGAAAATCGTAAAATATTTGGAACCACTCGAGGATGAGTAAATACATTTTTATTTTTGTGTAAACTATTCCTATAACGGCTGCATAGCACTATGATACCTGTTTCACTGTTTAAGCACTTCACAAAGCTCATATGACTGAGAATGAACTAAATTAAATACTACAAACAGGAATTTATTAGTTCAGGATGTAAGAAATGTTGTCCACATCAATGAAGTACTTGATATAATCACTGACAACTGCCATTTGTAAAAATAAATAAATACAATTATAGATAGATAGATAGATAGATAGATAGATAGATAGATAGATAGATAGATAGATAGATAGATAGATAGATGGATGGATGGATGGATGGATGGATGGATGGATGGATGGATGGATGGATGGATGGATGGATGGATGGATGGATGGATGGATGGATGGATGGATGGTATTTTAATGCCATGGATGAAATAAATAGATAGATAGATAGATAGATAGATAGATAGATAGATAGATAGATAGATAGATAGATAGATAGATAGATAGATAGATAGATAGATAGATAGATAGATAGATAGATAGATAGATAGATAGAAAGACGGACGGACGGACGGACGGACGGACGGACGGACGGATGAAATAAAAATTAGAAAGATAGATAGATAGATAGATAGATAGATAGATAGATAGATAGATAGATAGATAGATAGATAGATAGATAGATAGATAGATAGATGGATGGATGGATGGATGGATGGATGGATGGATGGATGGATGGATGGATGGATGGATGGATGGAATAAACATTAAAAAGATAGATAGATAGATAGATAGATAGATAGATAGATAGATAGATAGATAGATAGATAGATAGATAGATAGATAGATAGAATAAAATGATAAAGTTTGTAAAATAAATATTTATAAAATATAAAATAGAATAAAATTTCAATGAAAGTAATTACATTTTATTTAATTACAAAACTGAGAGCTGGTGAAGGCATGCTGTTGTGTGAAACCTGTGATTAGCGTATTTCCCCATTTAGATGGCTTCGTAAACATACGTGAGGTTTCATGGCCCCACCCCACTGAATAACACAGCGCTACCTAAAAGCAGGAAGTACATTAGTGGATCATCCATCCAAGCCACATGCGACTGAAACAGAAAAACAAAGCTTACAACATATGATTTTGCTCTGATGTGGATTTTTTGATGCACTGCTGAGGCGAGCAGCCAAAATCTGACATCTACATATCGCCTGGACGCGTCTGGACAAACAAGTATGTACGTAAATGTGTGTGTGTGTTGTCTGCTCATCAAATCACGACATCCTAAACGCTTGCCAAATTTGCTTGAAATTGGCTTTACTTTTTATGCTCAGTATACTTGCAAGCTAAACGCATGGTGTAGTCGGTGGCTTTTATTTCTGTCAAGACGGTGCCCATTTATTATGTAATCCCAATTTGCCTCGAGCACCTCTGCAACTTCTGTGCCAGATGTGAGGTGCTGTTACCTGTCTTCTGGCCCTGTCACTCGATCCAAAAGGCTGATGGCACCATTTTCTGTACAATTCAACATACGTTCGTGTTAACAAATGAGCATTGTTTTTCCCTGTTTACCCAGAGGCCCCGATTTGTATCAAAATATCTTGTGATGTCACTTTCATTTGCATGTGTACTACACAACTAAAGCGCGTGTCTAGCAGATGTGAGGCGATATCCGTCCAGCTGTTGCAACACTATCAAATATGTCGTACATATTTTTGTACATTATGTCGGTAATACTTTTAGTAACGTACATTTGTTGACACCACAACAAATGACAGATAACTGGAAGACAGGAAGCACATTTTACAGCTTTTTTCCGTCGAGTTCCCTCGTGGTGTTTTCAACTTTCGACCAGTTTTTGGCGAATTTAATACATGTAAACGGGTTTCAAGCGTCAAATTTACATTGAATACACATCATTCTAAGGTTTCAGGTGATAAAACGACTGAGAAGTGCCAATTTCCGCGTTTTTGGTTCTTGTTCTGAGGGAAACTAACGTGGGCGATATTAGCTGGAGTTGTATTTTCGTCGAGTACGTAGATTAGATGCGGTGGGCGGGAAGGTACAGGCGGCGTCTCGACGATTCAAAACAACTCGGTCGAGGGTCTCACCTGCCGGCTGTGTCAGGAATTTCGCCCTCTTCTGTCGGTGGTCTGCAACACAGGCAGCAGAATGAAAATACACTGAAAAGCACTGCTGCTTTATCTCGGTTTGCACTCTGAAATATCAGCACACAGTGTAGGCTACTGCACAATCATCTGTGTTCACAGAAATATACACTCTAACCCAGCAGTTCCCAAAGTGGGGGTCGAGATGCAATGAGGGGCAGGGGGGTTGGTAATTTCTAAAAATCAAATTCACTTTATTAAACTATTCGAATTACCACATTTTATCCATAACCTAAAAAATAAACTGAGCTTTAGTAGTTAATAGATTCATTAAAAAAACAACATGCAAATAAAAAGCATCAGTCTTTCGATTTATTTATTTATTATTATTATTTTTTTTGCAACCCCTGGGGTGATTACGTTATATTAAAGACACAGCAAGTACATAAAAAAAGACATCTTTACAGGACATGTACATTTAAAATAAATACAAGCCACAACAGAACATGGAGGATCGTCTCCAATTGGCGTTCTTCAAAATTAAATGATGAATAAACTTGAGCCTATTAGTATGTGTGGGCCGTTGTGTGCAAGATTTATATTTTTATAACCACCTCAGAAGATATTGGGGGTCACGAGTCACTGGCATTGTTATTTTTGGGGGTGAACTTTTTTGATTAGTGTAATACATGCTTTAGTCATTTGTATATTCATTGTTAATTAAATCTAGTTTAATAATAAAGTATATTTAGGTTTTCAGTTTTTTTGAGGGATATTTATTGTACTCAGTATCCTCTGGTTAGCTCCTTCAGCTATTTCTGTCAGTCAAACTATAAAAACTCCATTTAATTTGTTTTTACTTTTAGGGTATATGTATAGATACAGACACCTATTTTACGAGGAAAGAGTCCTGTGTTTCTTGCATAGACTGATTGGCGTGAATTTGCATTCACAATGGTATGAACTGTTATAGGGGTGGTCAAATGTGTCCTTATATAGTCTATTATTTTAATTATTAACATTTATTATTTAGGAAAAAGATCAGAGTGAGCTATTTCTCAGTATTAAAGTGCTGACCCCCCATACATCTTGTTTTGACATACTTCATGGGGGATCGAGTGTTAATTAAGGGGGACAATCCCCCTCATACCCCCCAGTAATTCACACCCGACTAACATTGGTGAGTAACTTTAAAGTTGTGTTCCAATCATTATTCAAGAACAAGAAATCAGAACCTGTCTGCCTGTCTGTTTGTCTGTCTGTCTACAGTGCTCAGCATAATTGATTACAGCCCATTTTGAAAATGAATATTTTTATCCATTTCCCAGTGAATATAGGCCATGTATTGTGGTGCATTTAAACAAAACAAATTTATTAAACAGATATATTTATTAAAATAATATTTTAGTCACCCATTATATTTATAAATTTAAAGATAATACAATTAAATTCAAGTAAAATATTGCAAAAAAAAAAATACAAACCTACAAAATGTCAACTACATTGTTTTGCTTTTCTTGATTTAACCGATTTAAATTTTGTATTTAATATATTTTTATAACATAATTTTAGGTATACTACACTAGTTTTTGGACCTTTATCATAAGTTAATTTGTTAGATAAGCTCCAGATTTGGCTTCAGTACTGACTAATCTAATCTATTTACATAAATATAATATTTTAATTTATAGCTTATTATTAAAATATGAATTTAAAAGGTAGATTTGAGGGGTGTACTTCTATATGCTGAGCTGTCTGTCTGTCTATCTATCTGTCTGTCTATCTGTCTGTTTGTCTAAATTATTTTACAGTAACTGCAACATTTATATAAACCATGCTTATTATGGAAAGGGAAGCCCTGTGTTTGTGCTTTTGTGTGATGGAACTGGATAAATATGGCAAAAAGCAAGATGTAAGTAATTCATGTATTAATTTATTCATTCATTTTCTTTTCGGCTTAGTCCCTTTATTAATTCGAGGTCGCCACAGCGGAATGAACCGCCAACCTATCCAGCAAGTTTTTTATGCAGCGGATGCCCTTCCAGCCGCAACCTGATGTAAATAATGACATAATTACATCCATATTTTTAGTGATTTTTTTAATGTAGAATGCTCATGTAAATAAATGTAAATGATTAAAGAATAATTATAGTGAGTCTGGTTTGGGCAGGGGTGTCCAAACTTTTTAGGCCGAGGGCCAGATGCAAAAAAAAACAAACAAAAAAAACGTTGTACCGGGCCAAATTTTACATACATCACACAGACACGCATATATATATATTTTTTTTTTCTTCCCTCTAAACGCATATTGCGAATGAATGAGAGACAGTGTGGTGCTGTGTCTCTGTGTGTTTATACAGACAGCTTGTTATAGCCCTCCCCCAAAATATAACACTGTGTATGAAAAGCATCGTCAATGCACCGAGATATCGAATTAAACCGAATCGATGGCATGATAATCGTAACCGAACCGAACCGTGAGACCCCGTCACACCTCTAGGCTTAAGCCCCTGAAGTGTTGTCAAAAGTCCCTGATATTTTAGAATTTATTGCAATAAAAAAAAAGGTTGTACAACATTTATTTTGTTATCCAAGTACTTAAAATGACCACATACATCACAAGCATTCCTCCTAACGCAGCATTAGTGTCGGGTAATTAAATAGTCAGCTGTTCAGCAGTACCTGTTGCTATGGACAGGTGGGAGTGGGACTGTTGTCACATGGCAAGTGTTAAAAAAATAATATACATATTTTCTATACAGGATATAGATATCTAGACATATTTATATAGATCTGGCATAGCCAGTCACATTTGTTTCTGTAATAGTTGAATCAAAGTGAGTTAATTCATCTAGCTTATTTTTTTATAGCTATATTCAACTGTGGCATGCTGTGCCAGTTAGCATCGGATTTAAAACATTTTGGGTAAATTACTGTATTTTATTAGCCTACAAAATATGCTAACATCTAGGTTGTACTAGTAGTATACAGGCAAAAACACCAAAAGCAGGTGGTGAAAAGAAATTCACACCATGAGTCAAAGCTCATCTCAAACAGCTTTTCCAAAAGCAGAAAAATATTAATATGTAGAAGATTCTCAGTATCGTTCACACAAATACTACATTTACATTTAGTCATTTAGCAGACGCTTTTATCCAAAGCGACTTACAAATGAGGACAAGGAAGCAATTTAAAGTCTGTAAAGTCTAAAAAGTATTAGTAATTATTATATATATATATATATATATATATATATATATATATATATATATATATATATATATATATTGAGTACAGTTAGTGGTAGGGGTGTAACGATTTATCGTTGTACGATTTATTGCGATGCAAAAATGTCTCGATATACATCGTGGCGTTATGACGATTTGATTACGATATGATGTCCGTTTTCTCTTATTAGTTGAGCTGTTTGCACGTGAGCTACGTTCCACCTGCTGTCGCACGTGAGTTCAGATTGCAGCAGCAGTAATGTTAGCAGACCAAGATGAGTGGAGTTGAAATAGAGGATGGCCCATCCTCTCAAAATCAGACGTCTGGCAACATTTCGGTTGTACAGTCATTGCTTTAGACTCGTCCGCTTTTTGCCACGCATACTGGGTCAAACATAGCCTAAGTTTTAAAGTCTTCACAGTGATTTACATACTTTGCACAGCGACATGGAAACCTTCTAATGGTGTTGAAAGAGTCACATACTGTATTTATAAGGTACAGTTCACCCTAAAATATCATTCTGTCTTCATATAATGATGTATTGGTGGACGCAAAATCACACATGACGTGAGCTGACCGAGAGCTGTTACTACAGAGGGCGGACTATGATAGACGCGCGAGTATGGCAAGCCGTTTTAGCATTTAAACTCTTGTTCTGACTATCCATAAATATATTTAGAGATATCTCTAATCATATTTTGACTAGCCATAATTATAATTCGACTAGTCAGAATGACAATTAGAGATATCTACAATTACAATTGTACTAGTACGAAATCAGATTGGAGATATCTGCAAATATATAATGACTAGTCATATTCCTCCATTGACTTCCATTGAAAAATATTTGCAGATATCTCTAAATGAGTTTTGACTAGTCACAATTGTAATTAGAAATATCTTTAAATGCATTTAATTAAATATGAATTAAATACCTGGAAATGTGGATTTTTTTTTGCACACACAAAATACGCAAGTGACCAAGCAAAGCCTTAAGCTCTTACTGTTAAATTCAAATGAATAGAAAGCTTATTTTTTTGCACCTTTACTTAAATTGTTCCTTAATTTCGTCTCTGTCATTTCAATAATATTTTTAAGAAGTTTTTAAATTGTTTTATTTTCCAGAGACAGGCCTGTTTAATTTATTTTCTTAAAGAAGGTTCAGTTTAACAAGTTGAAACAAAAGAAATACATAAAAAAATAGTTTACTTGGTAAAATTTGCATTCCAGTTAAATTTTCAATTTTTATTCCAAATATCGTGATATATATCGAATCGTGAACATTATATCGTGATACACATCGTATCGTGAGCTGAGTGTATCGTTACACCCCTAGTTAGTGGTATATCCAGAGAGGCAATTGCAGATTAGGAAGTGAAGTGTAGACTAAATAGTTGAGTTTTTAGTCGTTTATACTAAACATCATCATGCTTATACACTCAACACTGAAGTAAACACACTTACAACAACAATAGATGCCTTATAAAATCTACTGTAGGCCTACATAAGTGATGAAAACATTTATTTTTGTAATGTTAAAAAACAACAACAACTGAATTTTGGGAACTCATGGTTATTCACCATATGTAGTAAGGAATCTCTTATTCCTTACGCGCATATTTACCTTTTTCGGTTACTAAAATCACAGCCTTTTAAAAAAAAATGATAGTGAAGTGTATGGTGACATGGATCTGTGCGCTGCATTGAACTCATTCAGATGTAGTAATTTTACCTTTGTTCTGTACAGTTATTTTGCTTTATTATTTTAGTGTCTGTAGTTTAAGTGTTCAAAGAGCTGAGCTGTTCATGAGGCACACAGCTTGATAAGCTTCCAGACTGATAAAGTATTCTCTGTCAACACTGTTAAGGAAGAAAAAAATATCAGTTTTGACAGAGAATTCACTTTGAGTTTTTGTGGTTAATGCTTAAGCCATTTTCAATGTCAGTAAAGAAAAATTGCTTGACGTCCATGTAAACCCATTTATTTTCTGCTCAAACTTGAGGAGTGAAAGACATTCGCAGGAGAGTTGCCAGTTTTCATGTGCTTAAAAAGAAATGTATTTATTTATTCACTGAATGATGAAAACATTGTATTCATAATGTCTTTATGTATAATAAGCCCATTACATTTATGTTTGAACTTAAGTAGGGTCTTGCTGTTAGCGTTGGTGTCATGTGTTTCCAAACATATGTTTTTGTTTCATATGTGGAACATAAGACTCGGTTGCCAACATTCTTTCAAATATTTGTTGTTCCATAGAATAATGTTCACGATAGGGTGAGTAAATGATTAGAGAAGTGTTGTTTTTGTGTGAACTATCCCTTTATTTATTGTTTTTGCTTGGTGTAAGCGAGATATTGAATGAATATAAAGCAAATCTTTCATGTGTAATTTAAGCATTTTGTTGAAGATCCGATAACATGCCGTTCAAAAACATGGAAAATATGCGTCAGTACTGCTTTGAACTCCCTTAGAGTTGCAGAACCCCTTCGGAAGGCCTCTGGGCTAGATTTTATTACTATAATAATGGACTTAATAACAAGTATTTTGGAGATATCTTGATGTTTGTAGAAAAGTCTTGATTTTTTTTTTTGTTTAAATGTATTTGGGTAAATTTATTAATGTAGTAAATATATTTTAATTTCTTTAAAGAACAAAAATGAGGAAGGAGCTTTCAGAAGACATGAAGATATGTGTTTGGATGTCCTAGAGGGCACTGTTGATTTAATTATGAAGTGGGAACTACATGTTGGAACTGTATCAGAGTGCATAGATGCTGTCGAGTTTTGAGGTTTCACTGTTTCTCAGGAATGGGTCATAAAATACACAAATACTTACTCTGATTTATGGTTTGAATTACTGACTAAAATAACCAAAGCAAGAGCTTTCATAGCACTTTGTATATTATAGTACAATATTCTATTTACAGCTTTTAGTTTATCTTGATTGGCTAAGTCTGAAGTGTTAATAAAGTATTTTTAATAATCGTTGTTTTTCTTTCTGAAATAACATGCTACATGTTGTGAATCCTTCAAACACACTCTTCTCAAACATAAGAACTCTGTTTAATTCAAATGTAATTATTTCTTAACGCTCATTTTTTTTCATCTTCTCTCAGGAGCATGGGGCAGCATCTTGGAAAACGTGAGCCACTTTCTGTTTCCAAGGTATGTATATATATCTGTCTGTATGTATTTTTTTTTATGATCTTGCGGATAAAAATGGGCCAAATAATAGTGTATACCACTGGTGCTTAACCCAGTTCCTGGAGATCTACCTTCCTGCAGAGTTCAGCTCCAACCCTGATCAAGCTCACCTGAACTAATTAATTAGGACCTGAATAGCACTGGCTAATTACAGGCAGGTGTGTTTGATATGGGTTGCAACTGAAATCTGCAGGAAGGTCGATCTCCAGAAACAGGGTTTGTTGGTTATAGAGTTGGCATAGAGTTGGTTAAAAAGTATTGAACGCATCATGATTTTTCCTGCTAAAGCAGCTGTTGGCATGAAATTGGCCCAGATTAAATAGCAGTGGCGTAGCGGACGGGCCCGCTACGCCACTACGCCACTCAATAATTGAAAATCCGGCAACCGCAATAATCAAACTCTTGGGAACAACTGTGGTCGGAACCAAAGTTCACAGGTCTGTGTTCTCTGAACATCTCTCAAGCGGTGGACTACTTCATTCTGATTGCTTGCCGCCAAACCGCGTCATAGCTCATACCATAAAGTTGACTTGATTTCAACTATCCTCGACGCCCACACAGGAGAAGACGCGCCGTGCTGCGCCTTACCGCGCCTCGCCGCCGGTTCTCATTAAAAATGAATGACATCTGGCTACTTTGACGCTCTCGCCGCTTTTGGTTTTTGATCGCTTCTCAGTTTGTGAAGTCTTCCCCGCGTTGTCGCTCCCCCCGCCCCTTTCCCGCTCCTCAGTTTGTGATCGCTCCTCAGTTTGTGATGGCTTCCCCGCGTTGTCGCTCCACCCTGCCTCCCTTTCCCGCTCTTCAATTTGTGATGGCTTCCCCGCGTTGCACCCCCCCCCCCCCCCAACTGGGGGCCCCGTCAGTGATCCCTGCAGGGGGGCCTCCACATTTTGCTACGCCACTGTTAAATAGAACCAAAATAATCACAACCTTTAGTCATGCACTGTAAACCCAATAGTCAACTTTATCAAATGAAATGAGTGTAGGTTACTGAAAGTTAATTCAACTCATTTGAAAAGAGTTTTGAACTCAGTGTTGAAGGTAACGAGTTAATTAAATACCTCATCACGTCAACTTAAATGGAGTAAGTTCACAGTACTCATATAGATTAGTTTTTTTTATGCAAACGGTTTGTAGCAATCGGTTTCCTCATACAGTTGAGCTGCCTTAACTGATTGGGTTGTCTTTATTTATTGGGTTTTACTGTGCTCAAATTGCTTCGTTTACTCAAATATAGTAAGTTCACAGTACTCATTAGGATTAGATTTTGAACTTAAATGGTTTATTGCGATCTGTTTCCTCAAATGGTTTGAGTTACCTTAACTTATTGGGTTTTACAGTGTGTGCAATGAGGAAAATGCACTGAACTACTGAAGTTTAATAAATCATTTGTATAAAGTGGTTTTTGGTTAGGACAGCTTTAAAACTTATGTTGCAAGAAGTCACATGCCTGACCCCCCCAAACTTCAAGATAGTCTAGAAATCTTGACAGTTCTGAATGTCACATCTATCAACTCTGATCCTATTTTCAACTGATTCAAGTCAGGTCGGGGGGGGGTCATTTTGAGAGCTTGCAGTAATGTAGGTGTTTGGACTGAAGCAACCAATATTTATATAGTTAAAATACAAACAAGGAGCAGGGTTGCTGAACACTACTGAGCAATTTCAGCTTTTCTCTGGGCTTTCGATATCTTTTTAGACCTCCCTTTCTTCATGTGTTTTTCTGGAGCCATTTGAGAGCTTATGGTAATATAGATGTTGGACTAAACCAGCTAATATTCATTGACAACGACAAGAGGGCAGGGTTGCTGAACACTAGTGAGCGATTTCAACTTTTTTCTGGGCTTTCCATACCTTTTTAGACCTCCCTTTCTTCATGTGATTTCTGAAGTCATTTGAGAGCTTGTGGTAATGTAAGTGTTTGGACTGAAGCAGCTAATATTAATTAACAATGACAATAGGCATGGTTGCTGAAAACTACTGAGCGATTCCAGCTTTTCTCTGGGCTTTCCAGACCTTCCTTTCCTCATGTGTTCAATGCTTTTTTTCCTGCACCATTTTACTTTGTTATTTATTATTCTAATTACTTTTGTTTTCCTTGTATACGTGGAAAAATCGGGTAAAAATTTCAAGTCACCAGCACCTTTAGAAACGTATTTTCTGAGAAAAATGATGATGTGTTTAAAACTTATTTTACCAGCTGTAGTTATTATTGTTTGTATTTTTCTATATAAATCTTCAGTAGAGTGGTAGAATTGAATTACATTGGGTGCTTTGCATTATGTTACAGTAATTTAACCTACATCCTGGGAAAGAAGTAAGTACATGATTTGTGATTGTCATTTATACATGTTAGAATCGACAGTCGCAAACAAGTTCACAACAATCAAGGCATTCACCATCCTGGATGCAAAGCCTGGTCTCACACCTCTGTCTCTTTGAGAAATCACCAATGCTGTCTTGACTATCCATGCTAATACATGGCCTAAAACATCTAAAAGAAGCAAAGCAGTGGTTTAAAAATGCTAATGACATGCTGTTTGGGAGAATATCTTTGGAAGAAAATGTTTTAGATCTTCAAAAAATGCAGGGATTGTGAGTTACAAAATGTAAACACGCTCAAAATTGTTTTTGTTTTTTTGCTGCTTGTTCAAACTACTAATTTAAAATGAGTTGAAACAACACAATTCTTAAGTTTTTTTGGGACAACTTGGTTGTTTTATGTTCAATCCACTTAAATTTGTAAAAACTTTTGCGCTAACTTACTCGATTTGTGTTGGGACAACAGAAGGGAATCGTGTGGAAGCCAGCATTTTTCACAGTGCATAGCAATCCCTAGTTTCTAAGGGTGTGTTCACACTTGTAGTTCGGTTCAAGTTATTTTGTTCCCAATCAAAAAAGACAATGATTCATTTAGTCCTGTTTTGCTTATCACTCATAGTGTTGTTTTAAGACTGAATGTAAAGAGATGGGTAAAGGTCAGTGCCAAGAAATTCCCAGGCACACAAGTGAAGTTTCATAAACTAATTTCGAGAGGAGCTTGTGATATGATTGTGCACTGCTGGCCACTCATCCGTAATCAGTAATAATCCAATCAGAATGATCATTGCTTAATATAAATGGATCACTTTCTCCTTATTGCTCTATCTTCGTTTTGGAAGAATCCCCCCTTCCCCCCCATCTCCTCCTTTTTCTCCCCTTCTAAAGGGGGAGCGATCGAGACCTACCTGATCTCGATTCTCCTGATATGCTTTTAGACCGGGCGGGAGCCCTGGGCTCAAATATCTCAGAGCTCAGGGTTCTCTTCCGGGACATCATGACAAACCTGCTATAAATGCCAAGCATATCTAAGTGGGAACTCTTGAAATGAAATTCTGCTGTAAAGGGTCTCTTTCTTTAATCCCTGTATTGAACTAGAACGGGTAAAACGCACATGATTTTGCCAAGTACGATATGGTCCTGGATTAACATCTATGATGATCCTGGAACATCATTTTTTATTTTAAAATGTAATCCATACCTATTCTCTGCCTCTAAACTCAACCATATGGGGAATATTAGTTGGATAACAATCATGTAGAAGTGCATAAATCTTACCATATACCTAAATTTAACGTAAACTGTAAACATATCTCTTATTTCTGATTGGGTGATTGGAATGTTGTTTCAGGATCAACATAGATTAATCCAGGAACAGGTCCTACTTGATGAAATCAGGTTGGCGAATGGGTAACATTGTGAATAACAGGAACAAATTATTCTAAAGCCCTATTTGGATGGCAATTGTTTCTCAGTGGGATGTGTGTAAAGGCTGGGATACACCAAGCAGAACGTTGGCCGTTGGGCAGTGCCGGGCCATCGTTGAGCGTCTGTTGGCCTAGTTTGTTGTGTTCCACATGTTGGCTCCTTGTTGGGTAAACGTTAAAGCAGGTTGCCCAAATTCAGCATGTAGAGTTGACTGTTGGTAAAACCGAGCACTTTGATTGGTTATTCATCAACGTCTCAAATCAAGAGAACAAATCTGAAGTAGCAAAACCAAGCGAAAGGATTTGCGAAACAATTTTGGATTGATCTCGTTTAGAAACTCGGATTATATTTTAATACACTCACGTAGTCAATGCTGTAAAAGCAATCCAGCCAAATGGAAAAAGCTTCTGACCTCATGTTAAGGTGTTCTTAGTCTGTGTTGCCTTCACATTTCTTTCGTTCTGCACCAAAGACGCATCTTTTCAGTATAGTCTCGTTCTGCTTATTTTATGCACACTTATTTAAATTAACCACACAAAAAGAATAATTGCATCAAAGCTTGTTTAAATTTTAAGTCCCCATGACTTGGAGGATAAGATCATCCTTTTTTTCCCCAAGTCATGAAGTATATCTGATATAAATAGTCCCAAAATTGGAAGAAAATTGAAGGACAGTGCATGATTTGTCGTTTAAAAACGAAATGGATCATTGGAAAATGAAGGAAGAATGATGAATAGACAAAAGCAGGGCAGAAACGAGACACTGATAGCCCTGTCCTAAAAGACTGTTACCTTCGCTCTGAAGACGTTCCATGTGACCAAAAGTGAAGAAAAGTTGGTTGAAGGTTGCTAAAAGATTATGAGGCCAAATTAATTTTTATAAAATAGTGTGGTGCACAGATACATAGTTTATCCGTTTGTTAAGTGATTGCGTAGGAAATACTGTTTCCAGGTTCAAGCCGCCACTCATTTGAGTTGAGAAAATATTTGTTTATGACCCCTTTTTAGTCATATCACACATTAAAGCTAATTTGATACAAAATCATGGTGTACACAACAGTCTCTGTACTTGCTGCATCACAGACACCAATACTTTAACAATTTAGAAAAAAATTAATCACTTTCTGGCTGTTGAATAATAGGCATATATATATATGTATGTATATATGTATATATACGTATATCTACATATATATACTTATGTATATATACATATGTGTGTGTGTATATATATTCATATATATATATATATATATATATATATATATATATATATATATATGTGTGTGTATGTGTGTATATATATATATATATATATATGTGTGTGTGTGTGTGTGTGTGTGTGTGTGTGTGTGTGTGTGTGTGTGTGTGTGTGTGTATATACACACAGACACACATATATATATATATATATATATATATATATATATATATATATATATATATATATATATATATATATATATATATATATATATATTACGATTGTGATTTTCGAAAGCAATACATCACTTTGTAAACGTTTATTATTAGCATTTGTTGAGTCTCCCTATAAAGCTTGAAAAAGCACTTGGACTTGGAAGCCGCTTCGAGTGATGTCACACTTAACAAACGGATAATAAGTATATACATAGAAAAATAAGAGGAGTATATTTTGATTTAATTCCTACTGCTAAGTGTGAACACACACATAAAGTGCTATGGATGAGCTGCTGTCCCACATCTAGAGTGCTACATCCCACTCTTGCTAACAATCATTGCAGAAATTACCAAGTAGTTGGCAGTAAATATCCTGTTACAGTGAGATAATCTCTCTGCACATCAGCTGGTAAGCCAGGATGGAGAATGATATTTGGACAAAAATGACATTTACATTCAAAGTCATGCTGTGTTTTTAAAGGCGCTGCTTGCCCTCATCAACCCATTGTTCATCAGTACCATGATGAAGAACCAAATTGCAACCAGACGCAGCAAAACCCTTGAAGGGATAGTGTCATCCCTGAAAATGACAATGCTATTATTATTCATATGTCCAGTTGAAGTCAGAATTATCAGCCCCCTTTTGATTTTTTTCCTTTTTTTTCCTATATTTTCCAAAAAAATTTTAATAGAGCAAGAAAATGTTCACAGAATGTCTGAAAATATTTTTTCTTCTCACGAGAGTCTTATTTATTTTATTTCGGCTAGAATAAAAGCAGTTTTTAATTTTTTAAATCACATTTTAAGGTCAAAATTATTAGCCCCTTTCAGCTAAATATTTTTTCAATAGTCTACAGAACAAACCATTGTTATACTAAAACTTGCCTAATTACCCTAACCTGCCTAGTTAACCTAGTTAAGCCTTTAAATGTCACTTTAAGCTGTATTGAAGTGTCTTAAAAATATCTAGTCAAATATTATTTACTGTCATCATGGCAAAGATAAAATAAATCAGTTATTAGAAATGAGGTATTAAAACGATTATGTTTAGAAATGTGTTGATAAAATCTGCTCTCCGTTAAACAAAATTTGGTTAAAAAATAAACAGAGAGGCTAATAATTCAGGGGGGCTAATAATTCTGACTTCAACTGTATGTACAGATCTTCAATATAAAATGTTGTGGAGTTAATATATTACATTTCTGGAAATATTCATCTGAATTCTTTCATTTTAGGAGGGGTGGGGGGTATGTCAGTCTCAACTGTTGTTCTAAAGACATGTTTATACCAATTCATTTACACAAGTTTTTAATTATTTAAGGGTTTTGTGGCATCTGCTCTCAGAAATGTATAACTGTATGTCCCAGGTAGTCATTAAGGACATACAGTATGATTTCTTTTGCACTTGGTTGTAGCATATCTCTTTGATGAGAGAACATAAATATATAATAAACCGTATTTTCTGATATGCCCAGTCAGATTAACCATGAAGGTTACAGTTTAAAATGCACACGAATAGCACAGTTACATTTAACCACTGCCAAAAATCTTAAAGGCAAAGCTCTTACAAGTCAATCAGGGTGTTTGTAGCTTCATTGAGTAACTATTTAACCAGATTTATTAGCAGTGTGAATTAATTCTTATTTTTGTATGTATATATTTGGTCTTCTGTAGTATTAGTATTAGTGGTAACACTTTACAATTATAGTACATGAAAAAGGGTGTGTTAATATGTTAATACGGAAACTAAACATTACTTTATTATTGATTAATGATGAGTTAATGGATGTGTTAATCATGAACTAACTTTAACGGCTGCCTAACAGGATAATGGCTACATTAATTACTTGTTAGTACATGCATGTTTGTTAATTAGCGTATTAATTACCACATTAGTTAATGCTTAATTTAACAGTCAAGAACTCATAAGCTGTTAATGTATAATTATATCATGACTTTACTTGGAGGGGCACATCATCATTAACCCATTCTTAACTACTTATAAACTCCTTATGCATGCCTGTGTAGTGCATTTGCACTGAATAACAATAGAAAAGTGTCAACATCATGAGTAGTTCAGGATAATTTATGTGTAGTTAAGGATAAGTTAATGATGATGTGTCTATCCAAGTAAAGTCTTAATTATACATTATAGACTTAATTATACATTAACAGCTCATGAGTTCATGTTGGTTACATTTAGGTTAAATGTTAATTAGTACAATAATTCACTATCATGTACTAACAATAATTAAGGTAACCATTATTCATGAACTCATGTGACTCATGTTGTTAGTTCATGATTCGCACATGCATTAACTCAACATTAGTTCATAATAAAGTAATGTTCAGTTTACATAATAATACATCCTTATTCATGTACTGGTATTGTAAAGTGTTACCGTAATAGTTAGTAATAGTTACTGTTAGTAATTGGTATGCTGAATGTAAATGATAAATATTTAATTGACAGTTAGTTAAAATATTGGAAAAAAAAAACTGAACAAAAAACAATTTTATTTAAATTTTAAGTGATAATTGGCTTAATTAGGAGATGCAGTGGCGAAGTGGGTAGCACGTTCGCCTCACAGCAAGAAGGTCGCTGGTTCGTGGGTTTCCTCCGGGTGCTCCGGTTTCCCCCACAGTCCACAGACATGCGGTACAGGTGAATTGGGTATAGGCTAAATTGTCCGTAGTGTATGAGTGTGTGTGTGTGAATGTGTGTGTGGATGTTTCCCAGAGATGGGTTGCGGCTGGAAGAAACTTAAAACGTAAAAACTTGCTGGATAAGTTGGCGATTCATTCCGCTGTGGCGACCCCGGATTAATAAAGGGACTAAGCCGACAAGAAAATTAATGAATGAATTGGCTTAAATAATGGTAAATATTATATGAAAAAATAAATAAATCAAGTTATTTCACATGACAAATCAATTTTAGATTTAGTGAACTACAATAACACTGGATCAAATTCCAGAAGAAGACCTTTTCTCTTACTAAAGCACTTTTTCATTAGCCAATCTGACACAGTATTCATGTGAATATTAATACTGTATTGAAACTTCGGCATTCAAATTCATATGGGACTTTCCAAAACAAATTGCATTCTTAAACTGAACCTACACCTGTCATCAAAAGAAATAAAAAAGACTATTATTTCAACCCAGATTTCATCTCTCCCGGACATAAGGCATCCCTTATTGATCGCTAAACAATTCTTGTTCAGTGTTTTATACACACTTAATCTATTTCATTTGAACAAAGAGGAACAGTGACTTCTCAAGTGGCTACATTTATGTTTCTTATTCATACAAGTTGTCTCAGAATCACAGCGTAGTTCTTTTTTTAAAGGGATAGTTCACCTGTGTTTTGAGTTTCTCCTGTTGAAGACAAATCTGAAGGTTGGAAAGCAGCAGCCATTGACTTTCATTGTTTTTTTTTGTTCTGACATTGAAGTCAGTGGCTCCTTTTTCCAATATTCTTCAGAAAATCTGGTTTTGTGTTGAACAGAAGTAAAAATTCCAACCACTTGAGTAAAAAAAAATAAAGTTGGGGGTAAACTATCCCATTTAAATGGAACGAAGATGTACCCATTGTTCAGATTTATGGGCCGTTTCCACTGAGAGGTATGGTACAGTTCTGTATATAACCCACTTATATTTATATAACACAAACAACTAGTTGAATGCTAGAAATTCTGCATACAGGCTACACATTCTTTTAATAGTTGATTTTTACTCACTTTGCGCAGTTTTCTTTGCTTGATTATGTGTAATCGTCATAATGTAGTAGCTCATAATATAATACATTTTTATCCTAGTTTCACATTACAAGGGAAAAAAAGGTGTTGTGTGATCAGAAATGTGATATTAGAGTAGACTCAGGATTTGAAGTGGGTTTCCAGTGCATTTTAAGGGCAGTTTGACACTTAACTGTGCATTCTGCTGTGTGCTGTGAAAACAAGTGTTAACATGCTGGTGAACGTTTGAGATGAGGCAAGTTTGAAGAGAAATTGCAACCCAGTGAAGACAAGCACTGTACTGGGAATGCTAAAAAAGTATAATTTTAGGTTTTATTTCAACATTATTTGGTTGTAAATCTGACATTGCATTTGTATTTTGAAGGGATCCTCAACAGTATCTGAACACATCAATTCAACAGACACGCCGGCGGAGTCACAAGATGAGGTATTTGGTAAGAACCTTTATTTATTTATTTTTTTATAACTGATATTTTTCGATTTCATCTATTGCTGGTTCACCCGCCACATTTATTTTATTTTAAAGGTTCAAATAAAACATTTCAGATCAGAGATGCTTCTTAATTCTTAATGAGATGTTTCTTAATTCTAATGTTTCTAATTAAAGTCTTTTCACTCAAATTTACATTTATAAAATATGTGCTTCAAAACATGCATTAAACATTCCCATTTTAGAAACAGGCTTTTTTATAACTTAACCCTAAAGTTCCTGTTATGTTAGAATTAGATTTTATGAAAATACGTGTTTTATATAGATAGTTATTAAATATTTATTTATATATAAAAACGCACAGATACTTGTTTGTGTTGTTTTTATTTCTTTGTTCATTTTCAGATACAAAACTTGGTTAAAAAAAAAGATTTTTTTACTCTGAGTTTTTGTCTTGTTTCTAGTCCAACTATCTTAAAATTCTTTAATCAATAAGCATTTTCTACTAGATAAGCAAATAAACTAAAACAATAATAATACATCAGAAATAAGTAAGTTTTTCCTTAAAACAAGCTAAATAATCTGCCAATGGGGTAAGTAAAATAATCGAATGCGCAAACGCATTAAGTGCATGTCCGAATCCACTTTTGCTATTTTAAGGACGTACCGGCGCATGGTCTAACAGGGTTGTGCTTATTCTTTTAATGAGTTATGGGTGTGTTTTGAGCATAACGTGCATTAAACCAACCAGAGACTCATTTCACATTCCCTTTAAAAGTCAGTTGTGTTGCTCCATGGTGCATTGGCTATTTACATGCCGGGCTTTATAAGAGGAAAAACTGAACGCTTCACTAGCGAGAAAACAGTTAAACAGACCATCTGCAGCGCAGGATAAAGAACGAGCCTCCTCCATTCGGCCTCTTTCTCTTTACTTTTACTCTTTACCCATTTACTTTCGCGGAGTAAGGAAATGTTGAAGACTCCACTAAAGACATCCATCAGCCTATATATGTAAATATTACCATATTTAATTAAATTTGTTAAACGCAAAGATTTGTTTAAAAACTATTTCTAAATTCAGGAATAATTTCCAGCAAGTGAATAAATGAATAATGACAAAGTGTGGTCAAAAATCTGAGTTAAATCCAAACACACGTCTTGTTCTTATGCCCCATATATGGATGCAGACGTCTCCAAAACCCGACAGGTGGACAAATCTAAACTTGTTTTATTAAAACAAGTATAAATATGCATATAATAAATAATATTGCTACTAATAATAAAAATGCAAATTGTCATGAATAAACTGAAAAAAGCCCCCCCCCCATTTTATATTTATACAGGAATTGATATATTTTTGTAAAAATGTAATGAATAATTTGTTTTTATATGTAAAGATATTTGTGTATTGCTGTACATCCTGTGTGCATTAAGGAATGTTTAAGTGTTTGAATCATAAGCTTTTAGTTGGTCAATGGCACGGTCTATTTCAGTTCCTCAAAAAAGCAAAACGTCAACAATGCACCTTGACACACCTCCTTTATAGACCAGGGGTCCGTTCTTCGTATGTGGATTACTCAGTTAGCTGGATTTGGATGTTGACGATTTGACACGATCCAGGATCGTTTCGTTCTTCAAAGCTGATCCGAGAGTTGTTGTCATAGCAACAGTTCTGCTAGGTCAAACCTGATCGGGAGCAGGCTCAATTCATATAAACAGGATTAGATCGGCTCAGTTCAAGCAAAGATACTACAGAAAGTATGTACCGAGTTCTAATATTTTCTTATAGTAGTAGTTATATACACTTGGGAAAAGAGTAAATATTTTTTAAACTATATAAATATATATATATATATATATATATATATATATATATATATATATATATATATATATATATATAAAGTTATAGTTATTAATAAAATAAAGTTATACATATTAATAAAACGTATGCAATCTGCACTCTCGAAATGAAGTACAAAGACTGCCACCTGGTGCTGCACAGAGAAAACTTATTGATATGAACTTTTTAGATCGCTTAGTACAAATTGTGTATAATAAACATGCACAATATATGACTTTTTTTAAAGCAGTAATACATTTATGCAGTCATAAACATGTTTTGATAGTTAATATGCAGTGATTTGATGCTTTACAAAAGTTGCAGACGCCTTTACCAATATCAAAATGCTTTTGTAAACATCCAGTTATTCTTTACACCGATTAAAAAAACGGCTACTATAATAAAGAAAAACTTTTCTAAATGTAAAACTAAATACATTGATTTGCATTGAAATACATGATGAATACTCTTGACACATGAAAGTATAAAGCCTGCAGCTCACAACAAATGTGGAAAGTTATTGCGTGACATATTTAACAAGCCGTTTACTGCTAATTTGATGTAATTTTGCTCACATGGATAATTGAATATTAATCAGATAATGTCATTACGCTGCTGTGTCGTCAGCCAATCGTTGCATTGCTGATCATGATTTCGAGGATGGATAGATCTGTCCTTCAATACACACGCAGCGATCTCAGATCAGTTCATCCAGACATTCTAATCTGATTCGCGAACTTGTTTGAAGAACCAAATTAGCAAGAGATCAGTTATCAAGATTAAAAGATCCAGGATCTGCCAAATCATCTTAGATCATTTAAGCGAGGTACGAAGAACACCCCAGCACACCCTTGAGTCCACAAAGTGGCGCAAATGGATTTGCTATTTAAACAACATGCTGCAAAACATAAATTACAGATGCGCTGGACTGAAAATAGCAACAAATCTCGCCAAACACGTCTTACCCCATATGGTGCTGGGTGTATTGCGCCATCAATCAGCTGGCCTCTGGACTAGAAATAAAAAAAATTGCATTGTAATTTTTTTTTTTTTTTTTTACATTTTTAGGTAATTTTAACAAAAGTGCGGTAATATTAATAACTGTGCTAAATTTTGCTACTATAATCATGATATAAAGTTTTCATGCTATTATATCTCTTGTGACAGTAATGCGTCACCGTAATATTCTCCTCATAAAATGCCATAATAGATTGCTTATGATACTCTATTTTGCATTGGTAATGAAAACCAACAAGTACAGTAACAGTAACAGCTGTGTGTTTTTTCCTCTACATGTGTGTTTTGGAGTGAGTGAGTAAGCAGATGACACAGTGGTGTTTCTCCAGCATGTTGAAGGTTGCTGAAGCTTACACCAGCTGGCACAGGCTCCAGAGAGACTGCTGCAGGCCTCTGCCTCCATATTCACAGGCTGATATTGTTCAGAAAGCTCGTCCGTCACTGCCTCACTGTTCACTGCTTAAACCTCATTGTTCTCTTTCTGTAGGGAAACCATTTAATTAGAGTGGATTAGTCCAGTGATTCAAACTATTATCTATTATTTGAAACATTTTTTACCTGAATATAATTAGACATGAAGTAGGAAAGTGTCATTTATTGTACTGGGGTAATATGCAATTATGGGAGTCTTTTTTGTTGTTGTTTAGTTTCTTGATTTATGTTGTCATGGCAAAAATGAACAAAAGCAAATGAAATATTTGAGATTTAGCCATTTCACCTTATAACTTTATATATGACAAATGTTAGTGGTGTAACGGATAACAAATCTCACAGTTCGGATCACATTATGGTCCTTTGTCCCACTTTATATTAAGTGTCCTTAACTACTATGTACTTGCATCAAAAATAAATACAATGTACTTACTGTGTTTCTAATGTATTTGAGAACACTTGTGGTGCTTTTGAGTTGGGATAGACGTTGGGTTACGGACAGGTTTGGTGGTATGGGTAGGTTTAAGGGGGGGTTGAGGTGTAAAGCCTGATTTATACTTCTGCGTCAAACACCGGCGTATGCTACGGCGCTGACACATAGCCCTTCGCCGTGGCCATCGCCGTCACTGACGTGCACCTCTCAAAAAATGTAACTACACGTCGCAACGACGCGTAGCGCAAGCTCTGTGATTGGTCGGCTTGGTAGCGCTGACGAGTCTGGGCGGGACCGAGAGGCGCGCGAATGGCGCGACGCCGCGCGAGCGATTGTTTACAAGTGTGGAGTCCCGTGAAGGAGCTCCGGATTGAAAGTTTTGTTTTGTGTTTACCTCATAGTTAAAGTTGTTGCACGTCCGCCGGTTCCTGCCTCAAAATGAGCGAGTTTGAGCTACTTGTACATCCCGGAAGTGTTCAGGAAATGCAAAAAAGTAGCGAAGAAACTTGACACAGAGGAACATTTACACCTCACTGCCAACTAGCGTTTCGGAAGTGTTAATGCAGACCGGCAGAGACAGCGCGCAGAAGTATAAATGCACAGCCACGCGCGTTGCCTGCGCCGTGGGTTACGCCGATCACCTGACGCAGAAGTATAAATCAGGCTTAAGGGATGGTCAACAGTGTATTTACAAATGTAATTACAAAAGTTATCTACAGATGTAATTACATCAAGCACAAGTACACAGTAAATACATGTATTTACACAATAAGTACATTGTAACAAACTTTTAATTCTTGTGTAAGTAAATATTAATTAAGGCGACTTAATATAAAGTGGGACCTGGTCTTTTAGTCACAGATCGGACCATTTACGTTCACAGGAGACGAATGTAATTTGCTTTCCATTTCTAACAAAACCAGCACTGCAAAAAACTTTTGGTTTTAGCAAACAGAAATTAGAAGCTGTAATTATATTAAAAATATAATGAAAAATAATCAGCTGAATGAAAATAAACTGTAAAATATTCAATACGGTGAAAAATGCACTGCAACAGCTGTTGATGATAACGCTAAATGTAGAAATCTAACATTATGATTTGTACAACCCATATTTATTTTATTCTCATTTTCAATAAATGATTCAGCTATTGACTTGTAAAACGTCATGTTTCATTGCTAGATGGTCATTTTTGAAGAATTATTCAGTGCCGTATTTCTGATAGCTGTTCTTCGCCACCTATGGTTGAATAATGTAAATGTTCCTTACAACTTTCATTT